CCCCAAAACCCCAAAACCCCAAAACCCCATATAAGCAAATCTTGAGCAGATCTTAATAATAATAGATTAAATGCAAAGATCACAAAATCACTATCAGAAAAAGCAGAAGTAAATATACTCTGACATTGAGAGTTGTTCTGAAATACTTGATGAAGAAGAATATAAAGATGCACAGCCACAAGAAGGCGTCGCCCCATTCACAGAGAAGCATATCATTGAGAATCTGTCAATATTTCCATTCAATCCCAACAAACCAATGTGCTTTTATTCTATGTTGAATCAAGGAAACAAGAGAGGAAGGTAGGTTGAGGCTTAACTAATTTTCACTAAACTCAACAAAATTTTACTTGCTTTAAATGCACATTCAAACTTGCTAATACTATTAATATAGAGAGACTGAGATACTTGCCTTAGATTGTGAAAGGATATTGACCAAGAAGGGTGAGAGACTAGCCCGAGTGTCAATCGTCAATTTCTATGGGAACATTGTCTTCGATAGTTTGGTCAAGCCTTGGGCCAAGGTTTACGACTACAGAGAATGGATTACTGGAATTAAGCCTCTTGACTTGAAGCATGCCCCATCTTACCCTAAAATGGCACCCTTAGTAAGTTTAAAGGCCATCATTAAATAAAATATAGTTGAAAAAGATCTTGGACAAGAAGATTGTGGTGGGACACAGCCTGGATGATGACTTTCAAGCATTGAAGCTTAATGACGATGAATATGAGTGTGAGATCAGAGAAATCTCAGAATTCCAGCTATTTTAGAGACCCCTTGGAAACGGCGGCTATGAAAAGAGAAAACTCAAAGACCTTTCTAAGGATTTCTTAAATGCCTCAATTCAAACCGGACACCACTCATCAGTGATTGATGCTAGAATAGCTCTTGCACTTTACCGTTCATTTAAGTAAGTGTTAAATCATCTGCTTCAATCTTAATAAAACTATTGACTGAAACCCGTAATATCAATTGAGTTTAGGAATTAGATTGATGCTTAAGCATCAATGGTAAAGACCAGTAATAGCAGCAGCATGCTTAGTTAGAACATCTCATCTTAGAACCAAAACTCCTTGTTTTCAAGTTCAATGGTAGATGTGACTGAGCTGCCTATGATCAATGATCTGTTAAAGCAGATTTAGTTGCTTTCTCCGGTATTAAATGGAGTTGGAGGAGGCATCGGAGGTCCTAACGAGTTTTAGGCTATTGAAGAAGAGCCAGAAGAAGAAGTCGAGGTTGAAAATCCTGAGTGCTCAGAATTCAAGTTCTTGGAATTCTAGTCATAGGAATTCAAAAATAAACAGTAAAATTGAAGCCTCATCATTTAATTATAAGTTTTATTAATAAACATTCTTAATTTCTTGAGATATTATAAAACAACCTAAAATCACATTCAAATATCAAGTGCTGGGGTTTTGGGGTTTTGGGGTTTTGGGG